GACACCATATTGACACGGGTGACAGCGCGCCAATCCGCCAAAATCCCTTTCGGTTGAGTCCCGCCGAAAAGGATCATGTCAAATCGGCTGTTGATGACATGCTAGCCGCTGATATCATTTCCCCTTCCAACAGCCCGTGGGGCGCGCCGATCGTTTTGGTGAAAAAACATGACGGCTCACTGAGATTTTGTGTCGACTTTCGGCGTCTCAACAAAATCTCTGTGGCAGATGCGTACCCGCTTCCTCGGATGGATGAGTCGCTCGACGCCTTGGCCGGTGCGCGATTCTTTTCCACCCTCGATTTGCTATCAGGATTCTGGCAGCTTCCTCTGGATGACGAATCGAAACCTAAGACTGCTTTTCGTACACCGCAAGGTCTCTTCCAATTTAACCGCTTGCCGATGGGTTTACATTCTGCGCCGGCAACTTTTCAGCGGTTAATGGAATTGGTCTTGGCAGGTTTGCAATGGGATTCGTGTTTGATTTACTTAGACGATGTCATCGTCTTTAGCAAATCCTTCGAGGAACACCTCCAGAGGTTGCGTGCTGTTTTTCTCAAAATGCGGGCTGCCAATTTGAAATTTAAACCACAGAAGTGCCATTTACTCCGCGAATCGGTGCGATATTTGGGTCACATTGTTGGGCGCTCGGGGATATCCACTGATTCCGCCAAAACGGAATGCGTCAGCTCCTGGCCGACTCCCACCTCTGTGGGAGAGGTCAGGAGTTTCATTGGGTTCGCGTCGTATTATCGGCGATTTGTGGCTGACTTCGCTACGATTGCGAAACCATTGCATGCCTTGACGTCCAAGGGAGTCAGGTTTCATTGGGGGCCGGAGGAGGAGGCTTCTTTTCGCGCCCTCCGGAATGCTTTGGTGGGGGCTCCGCCGTTGAATTACCCGGATTTTTCACAACCCTTCTTGCTCGATACAGACGCAAGTAACACGGGCATCGGGGGCGTGCTGTCCCAGCTCATTGGGGGCGTAGAGCATGTGGTGGCTTACGGTAGTCGGGTACTGTCTCCAGCCGAACAGCGGTACTGCGTTACCCGTCGGGAATTATTGGCGATTGTTTATTTCATTCAGCAGTACCGCCCGTATCTGTACGGTCGGCGGTTCACCGTCCGTACAGATCATGCGGCCCTACAATACGCCCTGCGGGTTCAACAACCATCGGGCCAGTTGTCTCGATGGTTGGAGATTCTCCAAGACTATGACTTTGTCACCACATATCGTAAGGGTCTCCGCCACACGAACGCTGACGCCCTGTCGCGATTGCCACCCACTTCGGAGTGCGCGTGCCTCTTGGGTTCGGGGCGTTGTAGGTCTCCGAACGTCACCACCGATTCGGTCCTCGTGGCCGCTGCCGATGCGCCTTCGGTTTCGGGTCCTATCGAGCAAGAAGGGAGGGATTCGTTGCTGGGGTTGTCGGTCGCGGAATGGGGTCGCCTCCAAATGGAGGACACCTCCCTCCTCGCTCTGCGCCGTCGCGCCGGGGGGGTTGGCCAGGGGGTGGAAAACGTTGACTCGTGGGGGTTGTTCCAGGGACTTTTAATGCACTGGGATGGTAAAACCCGGCGCCAGCGGCTCGTGGTGCCTGCTGCTTTAAGGGGTAAGGTGGTATGGGGCTGTTCATGAGCGGCTTCTGCACTTGGGGGTTCACAAGACCTTTGCCACGCTCCAGCTAGATTTCTTCTGGCCGGGCATGGAAAAGGACGTGGGGGATCTCCTGGGGTCATGCACGCAATGCGCGCAGAGGAAGCCACCTGCTAGGGGGTCCAACCCTCCGCTGCAGTCCATAAAAGTTTCCCGGGTTAACGAGCTCGTCGCTCTGGACATACTTGGCCCATTTCCCGCTACACCCAGGGGCAATAGGTATTTACTAACGGGGGTTGAATACTTCACGAGATGGCCTATGGCCTGGCCCCTGGCGAACCAGTCGGCAGCAGCCATCGCGGAGGCCTTTGTCCAGGGCTATGTCCTCGACAAGGGTGCTCCGGAATGGCTGCTTACTGACCAGGGTAGGAATTTTTCTGGTAAACTCCTACGTGAGGTGTGCGACCTCTTGGGTACGGAGAAGGTTCGGACCTCTCCGTATCACCCACAAACTGACGGGATGGTGGAACGGCTGCATCGGACCATCACGTCCATGCTGTCCCAGCAGGTGTCGGTATCCCAGACGGATTGGGACCTCCGCATAGCCGGTGTGTTGCAGGCCTACAGAATGGCTCCCCATGCGGCCACCGGATTTTCCCCTTTCTTTTTAATGTATGGGCGCGAAGTTAACCCCCCTGTGGCGACCCAGCTGAAGCTCTCGGCGCTCCAGGCGAAGTCTAATTTGTCCGAACACGTTAAATTTAACATCGCTCAATTGTCTGAGGCGCGGGAAGCGGCCGTGCAAAATTCTGAACTCCGCCAGAAGGCGAACGAGAGGCTTCGGTTGGGGCGGGTGCAGGTGGTCAAATGGAAACCAGGGGACAGGGCGTGGTTGCACTGTCCCCAGGTGCCGCTGGCAACCTCGTCAAAATTGGTACGGCCGTGGCGGGGGCCAGTGGAGGTCGTACAGGTCTTGCGGCCGCAATGTGTTCGCGTCAAATGGGGGAGGCGCCGGTGGTATGTGCACCCCTCAAGGTTGAAACCATTCATCGCGCCGCCCCGTGGTTCACACACACACACGCATGGCCAAACGTGTGAGGGTTCCGCCGACTCCCCGACGTCGCTGCACTCGCCTAACCCGACATCAACTGTTCCGTCCCCAGGCGCAACAGGAGTGACGGGTCCACACCCACCAACCCCTCCCGGAGGGGTCGGGGGTCACTCGGCAGCGACGCCTGACTCTCTTGCACCCGGACCGTCAACAACCGTCACTGAGCGTGCCAGGACGGGCCCTTGTGACGGGCCCGCCGCGAGAACGCGCGCCAAAACGCGCAGACTATTGTGAGGTCGGCCGTTGGGGGGCTTTGCGGACAATGGGAGGGGTGGCGTCCGGAGTGTGTGTATATATGTTGGTTTTGGGGTATTTATTCGGGGGGGGTGCGTCGGGTTATTTTTTTTTCTCTCTCTTCCTGTTGTTGTTCTTGTTAAGGTTCTCTTGTTCTTGTTAAAAATTACGCGAGGCACACACACGGGGTTTTCGTGAGGGATGCACCTTTATTCTGATTTTTTTTGCAGCCAGGGACGGCTGCGAGCTGTACAGGGGGGGGTGATGTAGAGGTGTAATTGCGCATGGCTACGAATGTTGAGGTGTGATTATGCATGGCCACGGATGGCCAACAAACACAAGGGGCGGGGTTACGGCCGTACACAAGGGTGGCGCTCGCACCGACGTCCGCATGTGTATCCCCCACGGGCCCCCCCCCCTCGGGGGCGAGTCCTATAAAAGGTGATGAGCTCGAGGGCTCGAGGTCGGGACTCAGCTTTAACCAGAGAAGACGGAAGACCAGCTAGTGTAGGCCCCAGAGCTCCCCTGGCTCGCTGTCCTTATAAGGGCCGACCAGGGCAAGCCGGTGGCGTGGCCCCGAGAGCCCAGACGAAGCTGGTCTGGTGACTCAGGGAGCCGGGATCCCAGCTTAACCAAGCTGGGACAGATAGCCTCCCCTAGTCCCGTAGTGGTGGAATTGGTATAGGTTAGAGGGGTTAGCTGTCGAGAATCCCTGTAGCCAAGTGACCTGTAATAATTGTGTTGGTGTAATAAATAAGTGTGCCTCCGATCCTGTCGTCAAGCCTCCATATATACTTACTACACTACTATTGAAACGGCTGTATGCAGTATGGACCTACAAACTATTTCCCTGTACAAGAATACGGGGTAAACCATGTATGGTCCATAATACAGTTTTTTTTGGGTTACATTGCGTAATCAACCAGGTAGGGTGTTGACTGTTATGTTAGCCGACTCTTTGTGTTGTATTGCATTATATTTCTAAGTTTACTAGGTTGGTTTTGACTTAAAGCTTTCGTGACTGCAGGGATTCATATTATTGGTTCTTTCGGTAAAGTCACGTAGAAGGGAAATTATAAAAATATAAAACAATAAAATTCTCACAACGTTTCGACTGCAACACAAGCAATCATCATCAGGTGTGAAATCCACATCAAGAAATAGTTTTTTTCAAATTTTGTAGAGCGTATTTAATGTGGCGCTGCACTCTGATGTTGTAGGAGAAAACATTTATTAAAAAGTCTTTGAGTTGTGCGCCTTTTGGCGTCATCTGGTCCAACCCATGTGAGACTAGGCTCTAAGGAAAGCTTTCTCGGGTGTGGACCAATCAACTTCAAGGACAGTGCATACATTATCAGAGTTATGTTTTTTGTTTGCATTTCGACTGCAGGTATTGTGGTCTATGTAAACATGACTCCTTGTAAAAAAAAGGTGTCAGTTTTGTTGCCAGATAGAAGGGTAAAAAAAAAACAATTATCATAAGTAGAGCGTGTTGTCTATATTTATTTAAAGTTGCGCATTTTGATGTGACGTCATATTTCTCCCCCCCCCCCCCTCGTCACACATCGTCACAAATGTCTGACCCCCCCCCCCCTAGGTGCGTGACGTCATTTATGGACGGCCCCTTATAGATATTCTATGGGTCTTTCGGTAAAGCCACGTAGATAGAAAAATAATAAAAGAATGTGCCTTCCTGTAGTCACGAAAGCTTTAAGTCAAGATTTGTGTTATATTGGTCGCGAAAGCCTCCGTGTTAAACTAACCCGCATGTGTTGACAGGTATGGAATACAATGTTTAAACAAAACATATGCCCGTGTTTCTGATGCATATATTATATCGTGCATATAAACGCGGGAAACATAAATTATATGTTGCTAATCGTAATAATTATATTTGTAAAATAAACAGCGGGAGCGTCCTCGGCCCGTCACGTGACGCGGGACGTCCTCCCCCTACCCAAGATGGCCGCGCGGACTACAGCGCGAGGCCGCGTTTTCCTCGCGCGCGATTGGTCGCGCTTCGGTCACGTGACATAGACGCTCGACTGCGATTGGCTGCTGCTGTTGGGTGGCGGCGAGGAACGAGCGATGGAAGCGACGAAGAGGGCGGCGTTGTGCGCCGTGTGCGCGCTCTCTCCTCGCAAGTACAAGTGTCCCGCGTGCGAAAGCCCATAGTACGTGCGCTACACCGTCGCACTACGTGCCACGTGTATTCAATGTTTAATAATAATAACCACACGGTGACGAAACACAGCGCGCCCTGCCGATACACCGTAGCACGTGTTGTGCAGTTGTCGTCCCAGATGTCTTGTGACCCCTCCTATACCCCTATTTCATTCTCTAAAACTTAATGTTTTTGGATACCAGTGGAGGTGCGACAACAGAAATTAATACGCAAAGGGAAAACAATGTTCAGGGTCAATTAATTGGGGGGGGTCGTGTCACAAGATATTTGGACCACACTGTACGTGGCCCGGGTAGTTACTGTACGTGAGTGGGGATTGGTGGCGCGGTGGTTAGCGCTGAACTGCGCTGCGAAACCCGGCAACCCGAGTTCGGTTCCCAGTGGCAACTATTTGTCGCTCGCTGGGTCTCCCACTTGGTCGACTTAGTATTAAACGAGTGTGCCTGGTACGGTGCGTAAACAGCATTGTGGATACCAATGCGGCCTTGCGTGGAGTTATGGCAACACCATCGTTACCGTTGTCGGTGTGCCGTGCCGGCCTTCATAGATAGGTGCTCGCCAACAGCACTTTCATCATCATCAGCAGCAGCCTGTTAAAGGCTATAGGGCGGGTGCGTGGACCTAGCCTGGCACAAGCACCGTGTTGACGTGGCGAATAGCTGTATGAGCTTTCAACTTGAACCTCTCTGTCCGCAGCTGTTCGGTGGAGTGCTATAAAGTTCACAAAGGTAACACAACGCACACCGCCGTTCGACTGCAGTGCAAGCACGTGCTCACCACGGTCCATGCGCACAGGCGATAAGAAAATGGGGGAAATTAAAGACAGCCCACAGTGCTATTTGGGCCATGGAACCCCAATTATATGGGTCATATAGTAAACCCGTAGCGACACACAGAGGTAGAAACACCCATTAGATATGCATTTAAAACAAGCCACAGCAGTACGTGCAGGCTGGACTCGGGTCAAGCCAAAATTCGGAATGTCGGAAAAGCTACCCAAAAGTATAGCAGCCAATTCAATTAAACCAAAAATCTCCAGCCTGAATATTGTTCGCAACGCAGCACTGAAACCCATCCCATCGGAGTTTGGTTACCAGCCATGCCTAACATGGGCCTCCCCTTCATCCCACACTGACCAGCGTGGTGGTAAAGTATGGTCATTCAAAACCAACAACTGCCACATCATGTGGAGGTCATCATCCAGCAGTGGATAGACAATATTAATTATTTGTGAATATTAATTATTTAGTTCTGTGGTTTTAAATATACATGCAGTTAAAATTACTTTTCATTTTCTTGGTGTGTTTACACGTGCAACATTGCCACCTACTGGGAAACCTGACAGTCTTGAGACCCTGTGATGCTTAACTGTAAACAAGCGTGAGTAATAATTATAACAGACATGTTAGCTGGTAGCTGTTTAACAAACAAGATGCATTGCCAGCTGTGGATCACACAAAAAAACAAATTAAATTACTACATTAATGATTTGCCACTGTGTAAATGTGGCAGCAGCAGAGGTGTGCGCGACTGTTTTGACAAACGTCCCCTGCTGTATAAGAATAGGTTTTACCCTTTCTGTCAAAACAGGTGTTAAGGTATTCTTTGGGTCTTTCGGTAAAGTCACGTAGATCGTTTTTTGTTATTTTCTTTCAACCTATCTACATTACTTTACCGAAAGACCCAAAGAATATGAATTCCTGTAGTCACGAAAGCTTTAAATGAAGGTGTTAAGATGTTAAAACAGCAAACAGAAACCTTTGGAAAGAATCATGTCTGCATTAACCACACATACCTGTGGTGAACATGCAAACAAAAGAATGTTCTGGTAATATATTGCCAGAAAGGGTAAAGCCAATTCTTATATTTTGATACCGGCAAGATCCCATGATGTAGATGCTCACCCCAAGCTATAATGCCCCTGCATTGTCTTTGTGCTGGTCGCCTTTTGGCGTTCTCTGGTTTAACACTGTTGTCTCTGGTGTGGACCAATCAGTTTCAAAGACAATGCATATAATACTATAGCATGATTTTGTTTGCATGTTCACCACAAGTGTGGTTAATGCAGACATGATTCCTTGCAAAAGGTTTCTGTTTGGTGTTTTAACATCTTAACACCTGTTTTATTGCCAGAAAGGGTATAAACAATTATTATATTTTGATACTGGCAAGAAAGGTCCCATCATGTTCCCTGCTGTCTCGTTAGGGAGCAGCAACTGCATTCCAAAGCCCAACACCGCTGCCGCCACTTCCACTGGGAGCCCTCTTGACAGAAGGCACGACAAGGGTGTGTGGTATACAACAACAACACGCACACCCACAGACACACCTGATTTATGCATTCACCATTTGAATGATCGCAACATGTTTGTCTTGGACCACATCACCCAGAATGCACCTGACCGTGTCACATCTCGGAAACTAAGCGGTATTGAGCCTACATCAGTGGTTGGCCACCTGTGTGCCGTGGAGCCCCTCCTCGTGGTGGCCTGGTCTAAGTGTGTCTAGGGTGGTGCGTGGGGTCATGATTAGTGCACAAGCACGATGTCAAGCTTGTGGCCTGCTGAGGAGAAAGAGGGCTGCTCATGTGGCCCCACTAGTTTAGGTTGCCCATCAGTGACCTAGAGAGTGCTTGGATGGACAACCACCTTGCATAAAACACGAAACAGGAATTGTAGGCTCTCGACAGAGAGCAGTGCAGCAAACATCAATCGTGCTTTTCTATGCTACAATAACTTTGCTCTGCGTTTTCACCAACCTACAGTGACAAGCGTGGTGAAGCATGGTCAAATAACCCCCACAAGCTGCTCTTTCCACCAACTGTTCCCAATATCCTGGAGCTCTTATGTAAATTCCCCCTTGACTCCCGATCTGTCTTGGCACATGTCGTTCGCGATCAGTTATCACACACTAAATGAAGGATGTTTTAACGTGCGATTTCTACCCTTATTTTAGCAGCACGCCTATTTTAAGTGCTCATCTGTGAGGCCCCAACTTGAGTCAAACTGCGGTCTTGTGCAGGGTTCAGGCGGTTGCTTTGGAAAGCATGAAGTTATAAACCATCCGCGATTCACGCTGGCTCGAAAACAACCTTGCTTGTCTTGTTTTGTTGATTTGACATTGCGTCATAGCTGATCACGTTTGACATTGTTGCTATTTTGCCAGCAGCAGTGGACAACAATACTTATGATTATGCAGATGAAGATTCTGACCAAGTGCCCCCAACCAGATTGTGTCTACTCGGTGAGTCGTTGGTGCATCAGCTGAAACTGCCGGTTCCACCTATGACCCCATTGAAAATGACCGTGTCTTTTACTGACATACAGTTAATCATCGATTATTCGCCTTCCAACATTATCTGGTGGTCTCAGGCCGATCCGGCAAAACCACTCCACAAGCTGTACCAGTCCAGCGATCAACACCATGTGCGTGGCAAAAAAAGTAGCTATGTTTGATTTTACTGTGAAATACCATAGTATATTATACACTACATACAACTTAAACAATGAAAATACTGCACATATATACATTTTTTATGACAAATAACTACAATAATAAAAACAATATACAGTGCGATCTGGTGCAATGTAATTCGGCGTTTGTATCAGTCCGGCGATCATCAAACACAAACAAGAGCGTAGCACCTCAGCCCATGCAAAGTATTCGAGATTGAAGTGGTAAGTACGTTACAGAAAATTCAGCACCTTTTTACAGTAGGGTATTTTTTTTGTCTTATTAGTATGTTTATGCCAATTTCATATCGCAAACAAATTTAAAACACGAAAAAAACCTATACACAGCGCTTAAAAACATGTAATGCAAGGATGTGCAAAAATATATTTTGAATAATGATGTGATTATCCAGAGTTTTAGAAAATTTGGCACCCCCTTCTTCCCGAAGCCGTCGGATAATCAATAATCTACTGTAGTAATACTCAACAGTGTCAGTCCGCTACTGGACAAAAGCCTCCCTGTGTTTGACCAGTTTTGGGGATTATTTGGCCATCCTTCACCACACTGGGCAGTTGAGGTTGGTAAAAGTGATGCGAGATCTAGCAGGGACGTCACTCGTCACTGACGTTAGCCACAACTCGCCGAGATCTCTGTGCGGCGGTACGTTGGCCGGGCAGAGCGGTGCATGGGGACAACGACGACGTCACCGGTCGGCATTGCGTGAAACTTGCGTGCGCTGCAGACGAGAGCGCCGCCCTGAGGGCGCTGCTGGACAACCCCCACCTGCGCTCGCTTCTGACGGAGGTCGACGGTGCGCAGGACAAGGCGACGGCGATGCGCCTCGCCATGCAGGAGCCGCTCTTCGTCGAGTTCGCCGACCGGTGCCTGAGTGTCGTGGCGCCCGCGGAGGGCGAGCGGGAGGACTAGCGCCGCCGGCGTTTCCGGACGTCGCAACGCACTCCGGCAAAGAAGAGATATCGCCACCAGCTGTAGTCTTTCAACTGCTGGATGAAGACATGCCAAAAGTGGTCGCCATCTCGAGACGATTTTATCGTTCTCATCTCTGCGGTGGTAAAACAATCCCCGCTAACAACCTGCACTCAGCAGTGGGTGAATACAAAGGGCTGTACGCATACTATGTAGCATAACGCTGTCCATAAAATACTGTGATGGTGTTTATTCAGAGACGGAAGTTAATGCTTTTGAGGCAGTGTGTTATTGCAACATCTGCCACTAAATGTTGTGTGTGCCAGTTCAGATGTTTTTTTTAATCTAAAACGTTATGACGAGTAATAATTTCAACTTGTAACGTGCCGCAGAATGGAAGGCCAGCCACACGCTGAGCCGGCACCAACAGTTGTCCAAGCTCAGCAGTCGACAGATTCAGGCGTTATCGGCCATTTAATTAGTGCTAAGATATGGGAGGAAACCGGAGCACCTCGAGAAAACCAAAATATGCGAGAGGGAAATTTTCTCCTGTACAGACCGAACAGGTGGAGTCCACATTTTGTCTGTACCGCCTTCTGGAAAGCCAAGGTATAACTACTCGACACTTACAGAAAAGGAGTTTAGCTGCATTTGTACGGTGATCCATCAACCGGCATTGCCTCCATAGTGCTGGATTGCAGGCAGCCACGTGCAGTATTGCCACCACGGCTTGGCTATACTGCACATATAGGGAGCACGTGTTTATTTCTCAGCAAGTGATTGGTTATTTGAGTGCAGTAGCCACATTGTGGCATTTATTTCGTAAGATGTAGCCTAAAATAAAAATGTATTTTTCTTACGTGTGCGGTTTTGCTTTAGTAATGTTGCTGTTGTACATCTGGTTATTATTTTAGTTTTATAAACGACAGTACTGTCACTAGGGTTGGTGTCACCCAGTGCGGTAACTCATGGTGTCACCCCTCATGGACCACCGCCCGTACCAGACCATACAGAATCCTTAGTAATGTGTTTTGTACTAATGTTACTGGTAAATCGTAATTCCCGTATATCACTGAATGTAATGGCAATAGTAGTGACATAAACAACTAGCAACATTTAAATTACACCTTTAAATTACAATATTTCATTTAATTACTACTTCATTCTCAAAAAAGTTATTGATATAAATTCACAAATACTAATTACCACAATATTGCAGCTTAAACACCAGAAAATTTGACAAAACCAGCGACTAAAAACACGAGCAGCAACAGCTGCTTGAAGCACGTGCAGATGAAACCACGTGATTCGAAGCATCATTGTAATTGGGTAATAATGACGGCTCTGACCGGGGCGCATTCGAAGGTTCGAAAAGTAAATTCGCACAGGGATTTAGCCTTGTAGGTATATTGATACAGTACATGTAAGCTGGGCTTACGAAACATGTTCTTGTTATAACTACAGGGATATTTTTTTTTATAAAAAAAAATACATTTCTTCTGAAACACTGCACAAGTTGTATAGACTAATTTTGGTGTCACCCCCTCTGATGGTGTCACCCGGGGCGGTCCGCACCCCCCGAGTGACGCCACTGATAAACGAATAATTTTAACAAAAAATGGAAAGTTTCCTGTTCAAATAGAAAGCACTCATCCTGTTAGCCGCCTTGAGCCAACCGATTACGAAAATCAATATTTCAAATTACTTTTTTAAAAACATGCTTTAATGAACATGCTTTAATTACATTCAGTACCGTACGAGTAATGGCAGAACTCCAGGAAGTGGCCCCGAGGCTTGCCACAACGTAAGCGTGGTGATTTACAACCAACGTCAGTTGAGCGTGGACAATTAGACCCGAGCCGAAACATAACATGTAAAAAAATTGTTTAAAAATATATTTTTTATGATACAATATAGTATTGTCATCCGTATGACATAAGTATACCAAGTTTGCAGTCGATAACACATTGGGAAGTGGGTTAAAAATTAGTTACAAGATTTGAGGATGCGACAACAGAGTTAAATAAAAGCGTGTAATAAAAAAAAATGTGCATCAATTTTATCGACCCTGCAGAAATTATTGGCTGAGTTAACCCTCAGCCGAGTAGTTGTAACTCGCAACCTTCTAATTGACTTGGGTGTTCAAATTGGCCTCAGTTGTAAAAATACCATTCTGCTCTGTAACCTTGAAAACTTTGACAAAACGAGTCTGTAAATCAATGAACTCTCACCTGCGTAAGGAACCAGCATAAACAACTATACGACTCTTGGACGTACCGCATTTTCTGCTATAAAGGTTTATTTTACTTGTCGGCGCAGTATTGGCAGGGCCGTCCATACGTTGGCTGCGGAACCCGGGGTAAATCCCACAACACGTGCCCCCCCCCGCCCCCGATGCCTTCAAACTAAACTGGAAGTCTTGCATCTGACACCGTGAGGTCGAATCGCCGTTCCTTCGGGACGGCTCTGAGCCCTCTTGGTGAACGTAGCACAACCACACGGCACCAAGTCGTAAGGAGGGTTAGGGGCCGTCCATAAATGACGTCACGCACCTGAAATGTGACGTCACATCAAAATGCGCAACTTTAAATAAATGTAGGCAACACGTTCCACTTAATTAAAGAGACTTTGATAAATGAATAGTTTAAAGCGATTTGAAGCATGTTTTATTTTTTGGGGGGGGGGGGCAGAGCTTTGTGACGTCATATTTGAGGGGGGTCTGACTTTTTGTGACGAGGGGGGGGGGGGGTCAAAAATCGTCCAAAATAGCGTGACGTCATTTATGGACGGCCCCTTAGCTTGTTCAAGTAACCAGAGACTGTATATCTCTACGTAATGCTGCAGACCAGTTCTACTCGACGACGTCTTCATCTCCGGTTTGGCCACATGACCTGTCGCCCAAACAACTCGTGATTGCCACCCCCCTCCCCGCTAGCTCAGGTGACCGTGACTCATGTGAAGAAACACTAGCGGCGAAAGCATTCACTCAACGTTTAAAAAGCAAACTGTGCCTGTTTTAACCTGATAAAAAAATAGCCAGTATCTGCCCAAAGATTGCAGCTTTAGCACTCGGGGTGAAGTGTTGTTAGCGAGCACCTATTCAAAACTATAACTTTTATTTATATTACCAGCTAAGGCCCACTGAACTATATAGCTCTTTTCAGAAGTAATCTGGCCACGAATGATAGCTCAACGAAGCATCTTACGTGGACATGTATCGACGAATGAATGGGTAGGTAAGAGTGGTGGCAGCGCCACACAGATGTTTCGTAACGTCCTTCATGCAAATCGTCGCTCGCGTAGCGGCCATGTGACCAGGCGGGGCGAGCCAGTACCAGCAATGGGCCAAGGGGCCGTCCATAAATGACGTCACGCGATTTTGGACGATTTTTGACCCCCCCCCCCATCGTCACACGGCGTCACAAAAAGTCAGACCCCCTCTCAAATATGACGTCACAAAGCTTTGCCCCCCCCCCAAAAAAAATAAAACATGCTTCAAATCGCTTTAAACTATTGTCATTGTAGTGCGTATTTAATGTGGCGCTGTACTCTGATGTTGTAGGAGAAACATTTATTAAAAAGTCTATTTAATTAATTAGAACGTGTTGTCAATATTTATTTAAAGTTGCGCATTTTGATGTGACGTCACATTTCTCCCCCCCCCCCCCCGTCACACAGCGTCACAAATGTCTGACCCCCCCCCCCCTAGATGCGTGACGTCATTTATGGACGACCCCTATGGGAAGGAGGGGAATTGCTTGTATTGTGGATTATACATTGGTTAAGAATACAACCCGGATGCATTCCGTTAGTGCCTGAAACTACGAACCTAAACACCTGGTGACCTGAAGTTTAATTCCCGGCCACGTGTGTCAATGGTGGTGGCGTGGCCACGTGTGTCAATGGTGGTGGCGTGGCCACGTGTGTCAATGGTGGTGGCGTGGCCACGTGTGTCAATGGTGGTGGCGTGGCCACGTGTGTCAATGGTGGTGGCGTGGCCACGTGTGTCAATGGTGGTGGCGTGACCACGTGTGTCAATGGTGGTGGCGTGGTCACGTGTGTCAATGGTGGTGGCGTGGCCACGTGTGTCAATGGTGGTGGCGTGGCCACGTGTGTCAATGGTGGTGGCGTGGCCACGTGTGTCAATGGTGGTGGCGTGGCCACGTGTGTCAATGGTGGTGGCGTGGCCACGTGTGTCAATGGTGGTGGCGTGGCCACGTGTGTCAATGGTGGTGGCGTGGCCACGTGTGTCAATGGTGGTGGCGTGGCCACGTGTGTCAATGGTGGTGGCGTGGCCACGTGTGTCAATGGTGGTGGCGTGGTCACGTGTGTCAATGGTGGTGGCGTGGCCACGTGTGTCAATGGTGGTGGCGTGGCCACGTGTGTCAATGGTGGTGGCGTGGCCACGTGTGTCAATGGTGGTGGCGTGACCACGTGTGTCAATGGTGGTGGCGTGGCCACGTGTGTCAATGGTGGTGGCGTGGCCACGTGTGTCAATGGTGGTGGCGTGGCCACGTGTGTCAATGGTGGTGGCGTGACCACGTGTGTCAATGGTGGTGGCGTGGCCACGTGTGTCAATGGTGGTGGCGTGGCCACGTGTGTCAATGGTGGTGGCGTGGCCACGTGTGTCAATGGTGGTGGCGTGACCACGTGTGTCAATGGTGGTGGCGTGGTCACGTGTGTCAATGGTGGTGGCGTGACCACGTGTGTCAATGGTGGTGGCGTGACCACGTGTGTCAATGGTGGTGGCGTGGCCACGTGTGTCAATGGTGGTGGCGTGGCCACGTGTGTCAATGGTGGTGGCGTGACCACGTGTGTCAATGGTGGTGGCGTGACCACGTGTGTCAATGGTGGTGGCGTGGCCACGTGTGTCAATGGTGGTGGCGTGACCACGTGTGTCAATGGTGGTGGCGTGGTCACGTGTGTCAATTGTGGTGGCGTGGCCACGTGTGTCAATGGTGGTGGCGTGGTCACGTGTGTCAATGGTGGTGGCGTGGTCACGTGTGTCAATGGTGGTGGCGTGGCCACGTGTGTCAATGGTGGTGGCGTGGTCACGTGTGTCAATGGTGGTGGCGTGGCCACGTGTGTCAATGTTGGTGGCGTGGTCACGTGTGTCAATGGTGGTGGCGTGACCACGTGTGTCAATGGTGGTGGCGTGGTCACGTGTGTCAATGGTGGTGGCGTGACCACGTGTGTCAATGTTGGTGGCGTGACCACGTGTGTCAATGGTGGTGGCGTGACCACGTGTGTCAATGGTGGTGGCGTGGCCACGTGTGTCAATGTTGGTGGCGTGGTCACGTGTGTCAATGGTGGTGGCGTGACCACGTGTGTCAATGGTGGTGGCGTGGTCACGTGTGTCAATGGTGGTGGCGTGGTCACGTGTGTCAATGGTGGTGGCGTGGTCACGTGTGTCAATGGTGGTGGCGTGACCACGTGTGTCAATGGTGGTGGCGTGGTCACGTGTGTCAATGGTGGTGGCGTGGTCACGTGTGTCAATGGTGGTGGCGTGGTCACGTGTGTCAATGGTGGTAGCGTGGTCACGTGTGTCAATGGTGGTGGCGTGACCACGTGTGTCAATGGTGGTGGCGTGGTCACGTGTGTCAATGGTGGTGGCGTGGCAAGTCAACGAGTCCTACTGGGGGCAACCCGCGCCGACTCGCGTGGGTGGGTGAAGTGTGGCCCCAAACAAGCCCCTAGCACCTGCGCCACGTGGGGAGCCTTCATCCAGCAGTGGATTTAACAAAGAGGCTGCAGGAGCTCCATGTTGACGTGAAGGAAAGTAAACAGAGCAGTGCAGCCGAAGTGACGGGAGAATCCGTGTAGAAACCTTCACATCGGTTATCTTGAGATGGGCACGCA